GTACGAAATTATGTCTATATATACGGATCCAACGCCTAGTTTAAACTATAAATAAGGTATACGGTATTTTTCAAATTAACTCTTCTATTTATGGCTGTAGGATTAAATTCGAAAAAAAAATGGCCTGAAGCCATGATAAACAAATGGTCCCAATCATCGAAATGAGCAAGAAAAGCGGAAGGATCTCTATACGTCTTTGGTTTTATAAAATTGAGAGTTGTCTCCGAAGTCAAATAATAAAGACAACTTCCTTCGTGAATTGTCAAGACACTAACTACAATATAGATAGAATTTCGTAGTCTTTTGGTGTTGGCGTTGTATGTGTACAATACTATATATAGCCTGAAGTAATACCATCAGCCAAGAAGGTGACCAAGGCTGTGTCTAAATTAGCAAATAAAAAAATGTAACTTTTGCTAATGATACATTGTATAACTAACAAACATTTCACTTTAACATATTCCATTTACCAACCAGTCGGTGGTAATAGTAGAACTTGAGTCACGCGCTAACTTCTCGGTATCCCACCTGCTATTTGCTAATGATAGCTTGTTTTTTTGTAATGCGGAACCCTGCAAATGTGATGAGGTTATGAAAGTGATAAAGGTTTATGGAAAAGCGTTAGGTCAATGCATTAATTTGGAGAAGTCTTTGTTTCTTTTCTGGAAAAGGGTCCATATAAGCATTAAACAAGAGATTAGGGAAACTTTATCAATTGATAATGAGGAGGGAATGGGCACTTATCTGAGAATCCCGAAGGACATAAGTGGGTCAAAATGTAAGCTCTTCGCCTTCCTGAAGGAGAGGCTTGATCATAGGATCAATGGGTTGTCAGCTCGTTGGATGTCACGTAGAGGTAAGGAAGTCCTGACAAAGGCCATTGCTTTGGCACTATCATCGTATGTGATGTCAAGTTTTCTACTACCTCTAGAGATATGCGATAAATTAGCTAGTGCAATCGATAAATTTTGGTGGAGCTCGACTCCTCCTAGGAGAAGTATGCACTGGAAACATAGGATAATATTTGTATTCCAAAGGAAGAGGGGAGAGTCGGATTCAGGCTAATACATGAATTTAACTTGGCTTTACTGGCAAAAAAACTGTAGAGATTGATCGAATTCCCGGACTCTCTTCTTACGAGAGTATTGCGAGGGAAATATTTTCGTCAGAGCTCGCCACTACGGGTATTGGATGCATCTTTCCCATCTTATGTGTGGACAATTTTAATGGCAACTAGGCCTCTATTGATGTTGGGAAACAATCATAAAGTCCACTCATGGTATCAAATACGAGTTTGGGACGACCCGTGGATTCCCTTAGTTCCAGCCAGACTGGCGCGAGCAATCCATCCGATGGTAAATCCAAGAATGGTAGTAAGTGAACTGATTCATGGATGTCTAAAACAGTGGAATGTGGAGGTGCTTGAGAGCCTTATTGTTCCAGAGGAGATACCACTTATAAGGAGCTTGGCCATAAGACAATCTTATCGAGAAGACAAGTACATATGGAGCTATACCCAAAATGAGATGTATACTGTGATATCTGAGTACTGGATTGCAAGGAACATACTCAACCGACAAATCGAGAGAATGGTAAATGAGTCATGCACAATTAGTCTGAAATCCTATGCATGGAAAGTTCATGCTCCACAGAAAATCCGCCACCTTATATGGAAACTTTTGTCAGGATATGTAGCAGTTACAGGAAACTTAACAAGACGTCATATGTGTTGTGACAATTATTATCCAAGATGAGGAGAACCTGATGAATCAGTTAACCATGCTATTTTTGAATGCCCACCGACTTTGAAAACTTGGGCCCTTGCCTCAATGCTATCATGTCCGAGAATTTTTCCAACAACGAGTATTTTCACAAACTTGAACTACCTATTATGGAGGAAGAATGAGGTTGAAGACCCTGTCCTAGATAAAGATCTCTACCCATAGATTATTTACTGCTTATGGAAAGCTCGTAATGGCAAACTCTTCAGTGGTATCTCAAGAGATCCGCTGGAATTGGTCAGACATGCAAAAAGTGAATGCAACGCCTGGGTTGAAGCAAACACAAAAACCACAGAGGTTGATCAGGTTGTAGACACAAACACGCAAGTCCTAAGCTTGCAAAACATTTGTCTAGTTGATGGATCATGGACATCTGGAGAACAACGCATTGGATATGGTTGGGTTTGGAAGGATGGATCAGGAAAAGAGCAACTTCTAGAACAAAAAAACGAAGAAAATCGTATGTCTTCTTTGCATGCAAAATTGGAGGCTTTGATCTGGGCAGTGGAGAGCATGAGTCAAAACACTGAATGTCAGCACTTTGGGACGGACGACACGAATGTAATGGCGATGATCCACAATCCGAAAGATTGGCCGAGCTTCTCTACAGAGTTAGGAGAGTTTACATCATTGAGAACCAGATTTATAGACTTCAAAATCTCCCACATACCAAGATTACAAAACTGGACAGCAGATAGCTTAGTTAGGACTGATCGTACTTTCTATCGCAAGTTATATTTTGTTGGTTGTTCTATTCCGGTCTGAATTTTCAGACCACCTCAATTTTGAGCAATAGAATAACCTTTTAAATGTTAAAAAAAAAAAATAGTAGAACTTGAGTCGAGGCATACATCCGTCTGAAAATATTTTTATTTATCTCCATTATCAATACTATTATAACAGCAACATGTCCAATTGATAAAAGTTATGTACAATTTAAAATTTTAATAATATATACTTTTTAATATAACTGCATAGAAACTTAAATATAAAACGTGGATGTAAATATCACTTATATTGCCTAAGTATCCGCAGTTTCTTTTTGTAACTGCACCCATATTTAATCAAACAAAAACAAAAAGATGCTAATATATAGTGGGGGATAACTAATAACGTAACCAAACATAATTGTTGTTCATTATCTTCATTTTTCTACAAATATATTTAACAAGAAGCAGAGGATTCTAAAATATTCTTAGGAAAAATAGAAAAATTATAAGAATGCCACTAAAAAAAAGAAAAAAATAAGAAATAATACACACAACACAATTATATCTAATGGAATACAAGATTGTAATGTATTAAAAAATGTGTAATATTTTAGGTAACTATTAAAAAATATAATATATTGCAACCTTTAAGAATAAAATTTAAAATTTATTTTCTAAAATACATATGACACAAATGTATAGTTATGTAACTTGAAATATTTAATATAGTCACCAAAAATTATATTAAATTGAATTAATATTAAGCGTAATGTGATTACAAGTAAACGAAAATATAACTATTTTTCCAAAAAAAATAAACCAAAAATATACCCACCCTTTAAAGGGCTGGTCAAAATTTAGTATATTCTATTAAAACTGGATCATGACCAATTGATATATTTGTAGTCCAATAATAATGGTTAAATAATTATAATTATATCTAAATTTATTTATAAATTAACTACTTTTTTTCTCTAACATTAGCAGTTATATTTCTGACAGCCTCCACTTCTCCATTATTAATCGACAGTTATGTATATATTAATAACATAACAAATGGTAATCGTATGATATTAGCACTTGATGTATTGTCAAATAAAATATATTAGTCGACGGTTTACATATTATGTCTACTTTTTTTTATTAAGATTCTAATGTCTGTATAAAAATTATGTTTTATTTTTTACCTATAAATGTTTCAACCTAGCATTACAATGTACACTTTAAATAATACATAATTAATTATCTGATTGAGTTTCAAATAAGAAAATAACCAAATTTTTTGTTAATAATAAAAGATCATTTTACCTATGGACGTTCAGGTATTCATTCGGGTTCAGTTCAGATTTATTCGGGTTACAGATTTTTGAGATTAGAGATCTCAGCCTCAATCGGGTATTTATAAATCTCGGTTCAGATTTTGCGGGTTCGGTTTGGCTTCAGATAACCCATTTAAATTATTTTTAAAATTTTAAAACTCATATATACTTGAAATTTCAAAAATCTAAAAAATAAAAGTGATATATAACATAGAAATTTTATATATAGCAAAATATCTTAATTTAAAATAAAATTTGGTTTAACTTGGATACTTGGATGGAGAATTAATAAATTCTTTAAGTATTGACAGTATTTTAATTATTGTTTAACTACTTTAAATATCTACTTTTGACTATTTGTATATATATTTTAAATATATTTGGGTAACCTCAAAATATCTTATATATTTTGATACTTTTTCGATATTACATCTAAAAATAACTAATATATTCAAATTTATAAATCTGATTCAGATCTATTCGGATACCCGAAGTATTTTGGTTCGGATCGAGTTCAGTTTCGGTTCTCTAGATACCAAAATTTTGAATCCATACCAATTTTTGTTTAGATTCAATATTATTTTTTGTATCGGATTCGGTTCGGTTTTTCGGGTTCGAATTTTTTACCCAGTCCTAATTATACCTTTGATTTATAAATATTTAAATAAATATTTTTATTAAAATATGATCATGATCAGTTAATAAATATATGGTCTAACTATTTATTATTCATGTATTCCTCATTTATACTAATAACACTAAATGTTTTATATTATTCATAAATGATTAGACACAAAAATATGATTACAAAAAACATAAATATAAACATTAAATTTCTAGTAAAATCAAAACAAAAATATACCCACCTTTTCAAGGACGGGTCAAAATCTAGTCTAAGAATTAAAAAGAATTGTACAGCTATTGGCACACACACAAATTGTACAACTACGAACATACGGAAATTCCAGAAACCCTGACGAGACCTTTTTACATACTTACTTTTGTTAACCTAATATTATAATGGAACTTCAGTCATCTTATATAAATCACAATTTGGCACGTTCATATCATCGCAGATGATGACAATGAGATCATTAATTATCATAAAGAGAAAAATATATCTTCGAGATTCCTTTCGGTACCACTATATAAAGAGGAAGACACTCAATAGTTTAACGTACTTTCATCACTTGGTCACTACAAACCCGAAACCTCAAAATGGGGTTTCTTCACAAACAAAATATCTCCTTTGTGATACTTCTCCTTTTTGGTTTCCTCGCCATCTCTTACGCTTGTGAATGTAGTGACCCTCCAAAACCATCGCCACCTCCACCACCGCACACTCCATGTCCTCCTTATAGTACTCCAAAACCACCCACCTCTAAGCCACCGCCACCTCCAACCCCTTCGCCCCTACCACCGTACGTCAAGCCACCGCCACCTCCAACCCCATCGCCCCCACCGCCGTACGTCAAGCCACCAACACCTCCAACCCAATCTCCTCCACCACCGTACGTCAAGCCACCGCCACCTCCAACCCCTTCGCCCCTACCGCCGTACGTCAAGCCACCACCACCTCCAACCCCACCGCTCCCACCACCGTACGTCAAGCCACCACCACCTCCAACCCCATCGCCACCTCCACCGTACGTCAAGCCACCACCACCACCAACCCCATCGCCCCCACCACCGTACGTCAAGCCACAACCACCACCAACTCCATCGCCCCCACCACCACACATCCAGCCACCGCCACCACCAACTCCATCGCCCCCACCACCATACGTCAAGCCACCGCCACCCCCAACCCCATCGCCCCCAACACCATACGTCAAGCCACCGCCACAGCCAACCCCATCGCCTCCACCGCCGTGCCCGCCACCACCACCAACCCCATGTCCTCCTCCACCTCCAGCTCCAACGCCTAAGCCGAAGACTTGCCCAATCAACGTGCTTAAGCTAGGCGCGTGTGTGGACGTGTTAGGCGGTTTGATTCACATTGGACTAGGAAAAGGCTATGCCAGGGCGAAATGTTGCCCGGTTCTTGACGGTTTAGTGGGTCTTGATGCAGCGGTTTGTCTATGTACCAGCATTAGAGCTAAGGTTCTCAATATTGACCTGGTTATTCCCATTGCTCTTGAGCTTCTTATTGATTGTGGTAAGACTCCACCGCGTGACTTCAAGTGTCCTGCTCCACAGCAAAGAAATCCTCTCTTGGGTTGATTTCTTTGTATTTCATTTGATACGGTGAAAATTATTCAAGTTCTCAAGGTTTATGTTCTTTTTAATGTTTCATGATTGCTGAATCAGTGGCCAAAAGTATCTAAAGTTTATTACTTCTCTAAATCAAAAGGCAACTTTTATGTTATTGTAAGATTATTGTACGTTGAAATAATGTCATATGAAATTTATATTTTTAAAAGGGTTCCAGACCTTTCAGTTTTGAGCAGATCCTTATATATTATTTGAGAAGCATTGAAACTTTCTCTAATCTGTATCTCTTCCCCTCCATCTCTCTTCGCCAAGATATAAACTTTCTGGTGACCAGCGTGTGGTGGCTCCGATAGCACCAACACCCATCAGATTCTCTTTAGATTCTTGCTCTTTATGTCTACATTTTTTTCGTTTTCAGTTTCGATGGATTTGAGTCTGATTTTGAGCTTGGAGGGAGCTGTCTTATCTCTCTAGTTTCCTTTGATTTCATGCCGGAGACGCGGGTCTTTGTGGTTTCTCAGTGCGTCTGAGGTTGTGTTCGGTCGTGGCTGCTCTGTTCGGCTCTAGATCTAGAAACGGTTTCTTACCAGTTTTGGACTCTTGCTCGTTTTAGTCTTCCCATCTCTCGTTCATTCGGTACAGATGATGAAAGATTTTGACGAAATCTATTACCTTTATGTGTATTCAAAAACATAATATAAGTTGACAATATTATGTTTCCTTTTTTATAAAATATGAAATAACCCAATACAATTAGTTGATAAATCTAGAGGTTCACCGAAGGGGTGAACCCAAAAATAAGTCAACTTGACATGTGTTTATGTGGATTGGAGGTTTTGCAGGCTTGTCTGAGTTACTGGTCTATATTTATCCTCTAAGTTAGAAATGGTTTAGTTCCTCCTTTCAAGCACTACAAGAAAAATACGTTTTAATAGCAGACGAGGATAGCGTTTTTTACGATTGTGCTATGGTTGATATACCCGAGTTTTTAAGATATCGTTTGTATTTTCAAAAATGCTATGAAAAAGTGGTACTGTACATTTAAAAATGCTACGAAAGTTAGGATTTAATAGCAAAACATAATTAAACATTATGTTTGCCTTGTGAATACCTAAATCCTAAATAAGTTTTTAAACCCTAAACTATAAATACGAAAGTTAATTCTAATGTTTTTACATCAAAACTTAAATATAATTCCAAATCTTAAATATAAATTCAAAATTCAATCTTTACAAAAATTAATCTCAGATCTTAAATTCAATACCTCTAAATCTTACCCTCAAAAAGTAAATATATTTGAAACTCTAAACCCTAAATATATTTTCAACCCCTAAACCCTAAACACAACCCTAAAACTCGAATATTTCCTATTCTAATCTTAGATCTTAAGTTTAAATTCAAACTTTTATATTTTCAAAATTTAGTTTCAAATCTTATATCTAGACTTCAAACCTAAACCCTTAACATCTTATCAAACCTTAAACCATGTATCTTATATCCAAACATCATATGATAAACACTAAACTTTAAATCTAAAATTCAATATTTCATATCACTAACTTTATAAATGGGAATGATAATTTCATTCTTATGCAATTACTAAACAATAAAAATATGATTTGGAAAACAGTTATTAAATACAAATATTTTTTGATTAGTTAATCTATAACCATTAATTACTTATAATCCAATGGTTATAACTCATTCTTTTGTTAATCCTTTTCCTTTCTTTTCATTGGTTTACTAATAAAACAAAGAAAAATATTTCTCATTGGTTAAAAACATGGTGGTGAGGATAACTACTAATTTGATCTCGATCGTTGATATAATTCAATCTAATGGACAAAAGTAATTCCCTTTAATATTTTTTTTACCATAATCTCCTTCATCTCAGGATCTTTCGTCTCCTCTCTCTCATCACCTCTTTAATCTTCTTGCCCACGATATCTCATCTGAAATCCTCCTCTCTCAACATCTCATATCTTGCAATCCTCTTCTCTCGTCACATCTTCAATCCTCATCTCACGATCTTTCAAACTCGACGTATGTCGTCCCAGCATCACAAACTCCGTCATTCGCCGTCCCAGCATCACCACCACCGCCATATCACCGCCGGAATCTATGTCTTCTTCTGTAATCTTTCATTTATTTGGATCTTTTTATGAGCTTCATATCCTAATCTACATCTTTTCTCTTTCTCATTGTTTGTTTTTTATTTTATTTTTGTTCTTAGTAACAGAATGAGACAACGCGTGAAGAAGAAGAGGAAGAAGATGCGACGGAGGTGGTGCAGAGATGATAGAGGAAGAAGAGGATGCGGCGAGGTGGATGGGACGAGCTTGCGTTGATGAATGCGGCGGAGACAATGACGCGTGGTGTGGAGATGGCGAAGTTAGCGGTCGTGGTGTGGAGGTGGCGGCAGTAGTTGATTTAAGATGAACTTTAGGTTTAGAAATTTAGGTTTAGTTTCAATTTTAGACTAGGTTTAATTGCTAAAAAATCTGGTTTAGTGGTTTAGTGTAAACCGATCTTATTTTATAGTGAATGTAATTTATAATATTAAATAAAAATTAATTTATATTTTTATATTTTTATTTTATTTTTTATAATAGAAATAATAACGAAAATTAAACGTTATTAAAGAATATTTAATTGCAGATAGAAAAGCGCTATCGTAGCATAAGAAAAAATAGCAGCTAAAAACTGCTATGTAACATCTTTTACCTATTATGACGGGCGATGATACAGCGTTCTAAAAACCGCTATCATATCGTTAGATAGCGTTTTTCGTTCGTTAATAAAACCCTTTTTTCTTGTAGTGAAGTCGAGATCCTCAGTGCTGGGTTCATGATTTTAAGAATCGTTGTTTGGTTTAGGTTTGAGTATTCTCTTTTGTATTCTCTTTATTATTAGGCTTTGGTTTAATCTTGGGCAAGGTCCGGTCCTGACCAAGTTAGATGAATCATTTGTCTATGGTTTCCAAAATTTTGAAACTTTATATATTGACGTAGACCTCCAACTGTGTAGAAAAAACTCTCAAATCTAAAAATAAAATTAGCTGAATTTTTTAATAAATTGCCTATGACCCTAAAATTTCAGGACTAGCCCTAAATTTTTGGCTTGCTATTATTTTGTTTATTGTACCGTCAATCCTTTGGTTCATGAAGGCATATGTTCCTTACTGGCTTGGGCTTGGTTGATTTCTCCACAACCACTCACAAATGCAGTGTTTGCAATTGATAAGGGTTATTTGTGGTTTGTAACAATCATCAAAAATGTTATAAACCGTTTCAAATCACTCTAAAACTGATTTGAGCTAACGTTTGCGGTTGCGGTAAAATTAATTTTTTCATCTAAAAAACTATATAAATATAAAAATAAAATATTTAATTGAAATTTTAAAATCAAAATAATATAAAGACCAATATATATATATATATATATATATATCATATTTTATTTTATATTATAAAACTTCAAAACAAAAATATTTTCTACATTTAAAAAAAATATAACAGTATAATTATGTCAATCAAATTTTTATATTTATTATCAAAATATGATTCTAAGATTATAATTTTTATATTTATTATAAAAATACGATTCTAATATTTTGATATTTATATATAAAATTTAAATCTTGTTAATGTATTATTTATCCATTGTTGCATTTGGTAGTTCATCACTCATAAGTATTCCGTAAATGTAACAATTTTAACTGTGGTACCAGTCGTCTAGATCTCTTACTAACATTTATAACTGCAACTACATATATCCGCAAACGTTCACAACCGCTGCGGTTACACCAGTCAGACCTTATAGCTTCGATGGGATTGTTTTCTTATCTCTACCATTATTTGATTTTGTTTTACTAAAAAAAATTTATTAACCATATAATAAAAATTTAAATATTTTTGTATATGTTATCTTTGAAAACTGTAAAAACAATTAACTTATACTAAAATTGTTAAAATTTCTCTTTAAAATTTTTGCGACTAATAGTTTAAAATTTTAATAAAAAAGAAAGGATCATAACACCATACGAATTAAAAAAAAATTCATTTAATATCATCGAAACTTAATTATATCATATAAAGTCTATATATTAGGTATTTTTTTTAACTCAATATATATTAGGTATTTCAGTTAACCATTGAAATATTTTATACATTGTTGCACTCCGCGTAATGCTTCCCAGTTCATTTTTGTAGACTATAAATTTGTTAAAAACCTTAACTAAATTCCATTCACAGTATAACCACCTGTCCACGATAATTTCAGACAACGAGATGATATATATGTTGTTTCTTCATTAATGTTTACAAGCCTGAGAATATATGAGTAATTAAATATTGCGATTTAGATAAACATCATGATGTTCTTAGTCTAAGTTTGAGTTTGCAAATATTCATCGTGTTTTCGATAAACCATATAACGTATCATTTTTTTTTTGGTAAAATGTTTATACCAAATTTTTAATTTTTTACAGAAGCACCAAAAAAACAAGTAGCAGAATGCATAAATGTAAACTACACAGAACACCTAGTGAACAAATAGACCTTACTGCAACATGCTAAGACCCTAGAGGTGAACTGGAGTTAGCGTAGCGTTAATGCCCAAGGGAGAGGTGTGAGCGGAATGAGACCTCCCGGTTGCCGCGAGCTCCAGAGAGAAAGGCGGCTCAAACCTTGAAGCAACGGGCAAGACCTACAGCTTCCGAGGGACCCATTCATCAATACCATCATAAAGAAACGCATCACAAAACAATCCACTTGTTCAAAATCACCTCACCGACAGCACGAGAAGGAGTCCATAGACAGGCGGTGCCGTCATTCGGGACAGAGAAACTGGAGATTGTTGTCACCAACCCTCCAACCCCGGGACCGTATACATCCATTTAACCCACCACACACACAGAGTAGTGGGACATGTTGGGCACACCTCCTCCGAAAGAAACTACCTTTGAACTAGCAAGAAGCCTAAGTCCCAAACTAACTCCTATCCACACTCAAAAGACCAGCTGCTTACATAGAGAATACATCGCCATATGATTTATTATGGGAGAAAAGAAAGACCAACGTGCTGCCACAGTCAAGAACCCGACTCCAGGAGACAGAGACACCCAAGAGACGCGGATGCAGTCTCGTGACACTCGTCACGCGCTGCCACAGAAACTCCAAAACTCGGGCGACAACTCCAAAGAGAAGAAGCTCCCACACGCACCTACGACTGAGAACCAGCCATAGGATCTCCTAAGAGCTAGGCGGATCCGGATGGGACCAAGAAACCAAGACTAAAACCAGACTAGAAAGCATCATCTCCCCGAAAAGAAGCGAAACAATGAAGAACCGGTGGAAAAGAGCCTCCTCTAGACTCCACGCGCGGTCAAACTTCTGGTCGAAACCCTAGATCTGAGAAAATCTGGAAGATACTCCAGCGATATGAGCAAGCAGGAAAAAGGATCGACGCCGGTTCAAGCACTCTCCTCTCCACCGCCTTGGTACCGAAAGATCTACTGAAGAAGTTCCAGCAAAGAGACAAGCGGCACCGACCACCCACGAAGCCGACTCTATCGACAGTCCTTGGCTCTACACGTCCTCGTCACACCAGATCTACCACCACACAAACCAAATCACTAGATCTATCGCGAATAGAAGAGGGATGTGAGGCGGCGAGTCAAAACCAGGGCTTTAACAAGACCGTGAAGAGGAGGAATAAATCAACAGAGCAAAGGAAAGAGAGAACAAAAGAGCTCCCGATGACGGTCACCAAAATCACTGCCGTCAGAGCTGAAGAGGTGAACATATTTAGGTTTTCTTTGTTTTTTTTTTTAGGAAAAGAGTGAAACAAGTGATTTTTCGCAAGTTCTCTTTTTTCTCCCAGCTGCTTTAACGTTACTATAACCGTCGAGGGTTTTAACGTTAAAGTGGATGGAGGATCAATTCATTGGCATAATTAATAAATTTCTCACATTTTATTAGAAATATAGTTGAGAGGACGTTGAAAATAATACATATAGACGTTCTTAAAAAAATAAAATAATAATTCATATAGATGCTTGATATATTTCATTAAAAATCTCTTAAAGCACAGACACTGCGAAGTGGTCATTTCTCAACGTGTACATGTGGTGTATCCTTGACCCATACTACATCTTTGACCCATACTACGTTAGTCAAATATGCATATATTAATAGACGCTTAAATGCATTCGCACTTATTATAGAAAAAAAACATACAAAAGATTATGGTCGTGCCTCTCGTTTTTAGATTCCAGTACAGTAACTGAGAGTTTGTAATTAGTCAAAAAGAACTAAGACCATCTTTATCCCAGTCCCCACACCGTATTCGAGAGGGTGGAGGGCCCACGGTTGGAGAAAAAACAGGCTTCTCTGTTGCAGAATAAGCAACGTTTGTTGGGAGATTTTTACACTGTTTCGCGGATCCTACGACACGTGGCGCCCTGCGATTGATCTTTTTTTTTTTTTTAAAAAAGTGGATAAAACAAAAAAAAAACAAAAAAACAAATCTAAAAACCCTCTTACCCCCGTCTCTGCGATATTGATGGTCTAAGAGTTTGTCACAGACAATATGGTGATCATTGAGTAGCCATCTCCATTACTGTACTTCATGGTCTCCTAAGAGCACCTTCAATGTAAAGTTCTACCTATTAAAGTTTTTAAAATATATATGTATATATTGTATATATGTATGTAAATGTGGGGTCTATTATTTTACGAAGAACTATATTCTAAAGATTTTTAATGAAAGGTTTTAAAAATCTTTAAGTTAGGATTTTCTACAAAATAGTGGATCCCACACATACACTTATACAACATATACACATATATATTTTAAGAACTCCAATAGGTAGAACCTCCCATTGGAGATGCTCTAAGAAAATACAAGAAGAAAGAATTTATCAGTTAACCATGTGATGATTCTTGGAGCCGGGTTTAACCTCACCCAAGACCCAGTTCAAAGATTTTATGCAAGCGTCTTGGGGCCCAAATCAAGTATCTCCAATACCAAACTAAGCTCACAAAGATTTGAGCCTACCTCGAACTGAAGAAGTTCTACGGACTGAGTTCGAAAAGTAAACACAAAATGTAAAAGAGTCAAAGGTATTGAAAACCGTCGTAAGAATATTGATTCGTTTTGGGATCACTTCACTGTTATGATCGGCCAGGAAGATATATAAAGAGGAGAAGGAGCCAAAGAAAGGGGGTCCGAATCTTTTCATAGAAAAACTATACTCTCATTATATTAGTTCTCCATTGTTATCAAATACCCTTGTACTCGTTACTAATTCATCAATAAAAGATCAAATTTCCATAGTTATAGACTAATATCTATAGTTTTAACTTACCTGTTCACTAAGCTTCCCAAAAGCAAAACCCAATCTATGGGTGAATTTTAGGATTCATCATTTGAGGATAGAAGGAGGGAGAGATTCATTAAATTATTCCTCTGAATATCCAACGTGCAACACATGAGCATGACATTGGGAAATGAGATGCATGAGGTTAACAAACTCTCACATATTATGTATTTGTCAATGTAGACATCATTGGATAATGCATGGGAAGTATGCTAAGGCAAAGAAGAGCCGCTACAAGATTTCATAATGAGATTCAACGCGGCGATCTCAGGGTCGTGTAGGTGCGGCGAGCTAGGGATAATACATCTAAAGCTGGCTCTGAAGTACGACTCTGATCTCTACCACAGTATAATTTCTTGATCTTCCCAATACCTTCATGGACCCCCTTCACTGAGCTGAATAGTACATCCTGGTGGAGGCGGTCAATGCCTCTGATCTAAAAATCAGCCCGTCTCCTATCGTCCAATGGAAAGACAAGGCGGGTGTCAGCTCAAAATGAGGGTCATCATAGGTGTTGAACCCAATTTCGGCATTTATTTGAACAAGCCAAGATCCATCTGAAGTGATCGCTGACTCGACGTCGAGACGGACCCTATGAGGTCAAGGATGAGATTCCAGAGATCGCAGAGACGGTTAGAGAACAAAGGAACTATAAAAAGAGAGCTAGGAAGGACATTCAACACACGAGAAAAACCTTAGAGCTATTCACTAATCACATCAACCTCATTCCTTAAATTTCTAGTTCGCTTTCTTGTACTCTTTGTTGTTATTTCCGATCTTATTCATCTCTTTGTAAATTAATTCTACATTCAATAAAATTCCATTTTTGTCAACCGAAGTCCGATTACATCGTTGTATTTAAGAGCATCGTTGCCCACATCCTTTGTCTTCTCCTGATTGTACTCTCGATCTCTACAAAATACTGAGTGTGGATTTTAGGATCAACATTTTGGCGCCGATTGTGGGGAAGTTAAACGAAAAACTCCCTTGCTAAGAACCCAATCTAGGATTTTTAAGCACAATTATGGATCCCAATGCGAACAACCCCGATACTTCCCCATCTGGGTCAATCGACACCGCTCCCACCGGAAACCCTCTAGGAGCCGCCCCAACGTCCGTCGATCGAACAAACATCGCTCCCACCAGAAACCCTCTAGAGACCACTCCGGTACCCGTCGAACGAGTAAACATCACCGAGACCGCCAACGTGAACCAAAATAACCAGACTCCGCAGATCGGAATCTCGATCGCCGAGAGGAATACAACCTCAGATCGAAACCCTCCTAATGACCGAACTGGATCTCGCGCATGGAATCGTACAAAGATTCCCGAAGGTCCAACCAGAGCGACGAGAACAAGGTCTCCAACCCAGTTAGCTCGAACTCGAGACGAAATGGCCGAAATGAGAGCTATGCTTGTCACACTCATCGATAGATCTCGCTAACAAGAGATCATTCATCGAACAATTACCAGTCGTCTAGAACAAACCGAGAGAGAACTCGCTGAGAACCAAACAAATCCGAGGGGAAGAATCCAATAGCACTCGGATCCAACTTCCAGACGCAATTACCGCAAAATTGGGAAGCCTTCGCCTCCCCAGAAGCGGTCAACATCCGTTCGGGCCGTTATGCCGGAGAAAGCTCGCGGTAGACCCAACCTGAAGGAACAATCTATCGAAGTCTGGACTACGATGGTCAAGGTGAGGTCAAGAATGGAACACATGGTATCAGAATGACTCCGATCTCGACTCAGAGTAGGCCAACTGAAACGACCCCACCACAACATCGAACTCGAGATGAAAGATTCTCGTTCGGGGGTGACGAATTCCAATGAACGGGTCCTGCAGTTCATCCAGACCCCACCTCGGCATACGACCCGTTCAGGTCAATGCACGAGAACCTGCAGGAGGATGACCAGAGGTCCCCAAGCCAAGCAGAAGAATTCAAAGTTACGTAGAAAAGAACGACGCCGAGCTCAAAAGGATACACGCTATCATGCACTTAGCGACGAGCTCGGCCCCCGATATTGACCAAGTCATCGAGGAGACCCGCCGAACTCCATTTACAAATCAAATAACAAGTGTAAGGTTACACCACGTCGGAAAGATCAAGTACCCCCAATACTCGAGAAACTCCGATCCGAAAGCGCACGTGCGGGCCTTCCGATTAGCCGTATTGAGAGCACATCTCATCAATGAGGAAAGAGAGGCGGGCTACTGACGCTTCTTTTCCGAGAACCTCACAGGTCCCGCCATAGAATGGTTCGCCGGGCTCGAAGGAAATTCGATCGATGACTTCACCCAACTCGTATCAGCATTTCTGAAGCAGTACTCGGTGTTTATTGAGACGCGTGCCACTGAAGCATACTTGTGGAACCTCGAACAAGCGTCCTTCGAACCTCTAAGGACTTACATTAATAAGCTAAAATAACTAAAGTCCCAGATATCGAGCCTGAACGAAGTTGTTGAGCTGGCAGCTCTGAAAAACGGAGTCTGGTTTTCCGCCAAGTTTAGGGAA